TGATATTATAGATTTTACAAGCTATTTTATAAGGTTTTACAAGTTATAAGATTTTATAAGTTTTTTATAAGGTTTTACAAGTTTTTTACAAGTTATAAATTCCTTATGAAACTTTATAAGTACCTTGTAAAACCTTTTAAAATACATTGTAAAACCTTACAAAACACTTGTAAATACTTCGTAAAACCTTTAAAATACCTTGTAAATTTTTTCCGCCAAAAAAATTTCGCCAAAAAAATTGCGGAATCACTTTTCTCGCAAAAAAAATTTTTTGGCGGGAAATTTTTTTGGCGGAAAAAATTTTTACGGGAAAATTTTACAAGGTATTTTAAAGGTTTTTTACAAGTGTTTTGGCGGGAAAATTGCGGGATCACTTTTCCCGCCAAAAAATATTTTGTATTTTGTGGACCTAATTTTGTTTCAAATAAGGGTAAAATGGTCATTAAAAATTAAAAGAGGGCAAACTTAAAAATGGACTCTCAAAGGGGGCATTTTTGAAAAGGGGTATTGAAAAAAGGGCATTTTTAAGAATTTCTCTATTTATTTTTAGTTATTGTTATGTATGATTAAAAATATTTAAGTTAAAGACAAATAAATTAATATTATAAGTAAAAAACAAAGAAATATAAATTTATACATAATAATATAATTTAGTCTTCTCTCCATCTAGGCTATCAACATCATCATTCACCTAATCATGCATTTAATTAAAAATTAAAAATATAATTTATTTTAAATGCTCATTCAATACATATTTATTTTTAGTTATTATTATTTATGATTAAAAATATTTAAGTTAAATACAAATGAATTAATATTATAAGTAAAAAACAAAGAAATATAAATATAAACGTATACATAATAATAGAAATTAAATTTTAGAGAGAAAATGTTTAAGATTAATCATATTTAAAATTTTATAAACATTTCCGTTTTAAAATTGATATATTAAAAATCAATATGATGGATATTTCAGTTTTAAAATTGATATATTCAAAATCAATATGATGGATATTGCAAAAATTGTATGAAAGTAGAAAGATCATACATTTATTAGCTTTCAAAAAACAAATATAGTAATGAATCATGAAATACTTAAAAATCAATATGTTGGGTAATTCTAAAATTCTATGAAAGTTGAAAAGGCATACATTTTTAGTTTTTTAAAAAACTATATAGTGAATTAGTGATGAATCTTATGATATATTACTAATTGAAACAGTAGTTGATTAGTTTGTAAACTACAGTAAACAAAATGTTAAAATATAGCTAAATAGTATCGTGTATAATAATTTAGAACAAACTAAAATATAATTATGTATACTTTTAATATTTTAGCTTTTTATAAATATAATATAAAATTTTATATAAGTAAATGTATAAATGCATTTAATAGTAATACAAATATTATGCACTTATTAAAAATATAAAAGTTTATTTTTAAAATATCAAAAAGAGGTAGAAAGAGCACAATTGCAACATTGAATTTAATAAGATAGAAACAAAAAAAGTAAAAAGAAAAATAATAGTGACAAAATTAGTCTCAGAAAGCTAAATTCCTAAAGAAAAAGCAAATATATAAAATGAGATATATATATATATATATATATATAAGTATATTTTTTTCTTTTTTTTTTCTAAATACAATAGATATAAATTAGAAAAAATAAACCACATTTAAATTATCACATTTGAGTTTCTAGAATTAAAAAAAAAAAATTGTTATTCATAAGAATTCATGCACTGAATGAGAATATATATAATGAACGGTCATATGATATTAGGATACCAAGTCAAATACAAAAAAAAAACGTTTAATATATGTAGCATATTATAAATAGACATGTACATCTATACAATTATCACTTATAACATTTATATTATATTTATATAACCGCTTTTTACCAATGGAATTACATATATATTTTAAATAGTATTCGAATAATTTTTTTTTAAAATAATGTAATTTACAAAACTATAAAAAATTGAATATATATTATTAAACCCACCGCGTGGGTCCATTTCTAGTAGTCTGGCATTTGATCACTAGCACCAATGTTCCACCTGGTCAAACCAAATTTTTTTCCCATGCTTGAATAAATCTAAAGAGAAAGAAAGAGACATACTTATAGTAAATAGTACCTCTGCTAACATTCCGTAAGAGCGGTAACTTCGGGAAGAGTTGCATATGCATCATATGTGTCATCCACAACAACCACAATCATCATGATTTTAGCCAATATTATTCTCCCAAGGGAATATTGTGGCTCAAAATACGTTCCCAGAGACGCGAAATGGCACTCCACAAGTCTATCCCTAATGTAAGGTAACTTAGATACAAGATCTAAGTCCTTCCACCATCTGCAACCATATAAGTGAATGGATTAGGAAAACTGAAATCTAGACCAATGTTATCAACAAGATTGAAGATGAGAATGTCACTTGGTGAGAGTTTTGAGTTCTTGGATGTAATGAAACTGGCAAAAGTTGAAGTTAAGCTTTGCAAACTTGAGCAGGATCTCATTGTGACCTCCTTCTTGTTCGTAGTAATTAAGATATATATTCTCTTGCCACCAGTACTTCAATGTTACAGTATCGAGGTATGTATAATGAGTTTTGTATATGCTTGAAGAGATGGGGAGTAGCACCAGATACGTTACCACCTATCCAAGACTCCAAGTGATTCCGCGCGAAACTCATTGCTTCGTCCATTATATCTTCAGAGGGTGTTCCGAGATGCGCGAACTGGAACAACTGTAGCATTCCTCTAACATCTGTGGCTAGACTCTCCTTGAACCTCCCATCTTTACCTCTGAATCTATCAAAGGCATCTACAGTGAAACCACACAGCCAAAGTAGATCAATAAGTAAGTGCATATGATATGTTATGTTATGAATGTGCTATATACATGCATGTGAATAAAGGAAACTGATATTCTTACCATAAGACATCTTGTGACCGTATAGCCTAAAGACCTCAAACATAATGGAGATTGTTTCCAAATCATTTTCCTTGTCTATTATGTCTTCCAACTTTGTAAAACTGTGGTTAAGGATCTCTTGAATGTCCTTATCAAAATGATAAGAGATCCCCATGCTGACAAGCAAATGGATGAAACGAATCTTCTCCTTGTCGCTGCTGTGAGAAGACATGAGCATGTCTCTCACCAGTGGCTTGGTAGTTTTAATCTCTCTTTCTAGTTCATCAAATTCCTAGAAAATGAATACAAAATGGCTGGTCAAGAATCATGGTTTATGCAACAAGATATGTGAAAAAATGTCATATGCACTTACAGCGCTATCGAGGGAAACAGAGAAGAAGTGATCTCCCCAAAGAGAGGGAGAAAATTGCGTCAAAGGACGACTACTCTCAAGATCATCATTACTCTTAGTAGACCTTACAACGAACAAGTCGTGTTTTGCGGGCTTCCAAGAAAAAGTGTGGCTGTGAAGCAAACGAGGAAAGAAAGAGAGGTTCGTCTTAAGACAGTGAGAGGATTTGGGAAGGTAAGAGAAAGATCTGAGTCCAAAACACATTTTTGGTCACAGTCGAGAGAGAGATAGCTACTCTGTTTTTATGATGTTCTGTTTATATTTCCAAAGCTTTCTCATATCTGCTCTTATTTCAAGGAAGCTCTATGGTCAACGGCCAGGAAGCATTTAATGAATAGATTTTGAAAATAAAGTAATCTCATATTTAATGGGAGGGAAAAACGTGTTCTCATATTTTTTTAACTTGGTTTTAAAGCAAAAGCAGAGGAAATTGATGCTTATCTGCTTTGCGTTAAAAGTGGATGTTGAATCTCTGTCCTCTGATCTGCATTTCATTTATAGAAAGATAATTCACTTGATTTCCTAACTAATTTTTTTTCTCAGGAAACCACTGATATATGGAGAATCTCCAATTCAAAAGTTTGTTTAGTGTTTGAACTTAGAACTAGCTAAATTATAAACTATATCTATGTATACGCCTTGGGTCTTGGCTTATGTTATTGCGAGAGGGGTATGAAAAAAGTAGAATACAAAGCGTTTTATGCAAAAGCGTTTTCACTTTATCAAAGAGCGATTGGATGGATGAAGAAAGAAGTGATGACTTCTTTGAGCTTTCCGAACGAAGGATCTGTGAATTCATCACTATCCCTGTAAAAAAGATCAATGGGTCGTGAAACGTTGAGGCATCGCACCAGAATCGGGCGTGGCACAGCGGTTGTCGTCAAGTACTCCTCCATTATTATTTTGTAATAATCACTAGCCATCTTGTTCAATTCTCCAACCGCTTCTTCTTTGGTAACACCATGTTGCTTCATGTAACAATTCAGCCCTTTAGCCACATCTCCTCTGTTCGTCTCTTTCTGCTCATTCATTACGCTATTGTTAAGTTAATTTGTAACACAAAACTTGTTGTTAATGTGATTGTTTGTTGTCATGATTTTGTATTTATTACCTCATAGGTAATTATGTCGTTCTTAAGACGGAACACGCTATTTAAAGCTTCCATCATTTTGGGTCTGGAATTGTACCACTCGCACGTTTGATTCTCATCACAATCTTCCATAACAATAAAGCTATAGGCTGCATATTGATCCATTGATGTTTGCATTGCAAACTCCATATACTCCTCAAAGGTTGGCACGTGACTTGCGCGTGCCCATTTTGCGATGGCCAAGTATGCTTTCCCCAACTTTTTCATCTATATGCAAAGCAATCAGTATTTCTTAAAGACACAAACTTGACTACAATTTTACTTCCCCACTTTGGAAGACTCACCGCATCTATGGCTACTTGCACACTGCGTGATCTTCCTCGTGGCCTTATTTCTTGTTCAATCTCTTCTAAAGTATCAAACAAACTTCGAAAGACGATTCTTATATAGCTTGGTAGCTTTTCAGTTTCCCCAAGATCCCACCTAGATAAAAAAATTTTGCATGTCGTTTTACCTACTCTTAATTATTTTTTAATGAAACAGGAGTTAGGAGTTGAAGACAACACCTTTGGAAAGAATCAATGAGACTTGTAACTTCAGGAAGAGTTCCATATGCATCACATGTGTCATTCAAAACAGTCGCAAGCATGGTAAGTTTAGTGACTATATTTCTCCCAAACGAATACCGCGGCTCAAAATACATTGTGAGTGTCCCAAAATAGACCTCTACAATTCTGTCCCTGATATAAGGTAGCTTAGATGCAAGATCTAACTCCTTCCACCATCTGCAATAAACATAAATATTCAAATAAAGAAAGACTAACATATATCAAGATTGAAGAAATGATCACAGCGTACTTGGTCAGATCTTTTAGCTCTTGGATGTAATGAAGCTGGCAATAATTAAAGTTGAGCTTTGCAAACTTGAGCAGGGTCTCGTTGTGATCTTCTTCTTGATCGTAGAAAGAGATAAATTCTCTTGAGACTATTATCTCCATGTTATGATATCGAGCTCTGTTCAATGTGTTTTTTATATGCTTAGAGAGATGGGGGCTAGCACTAACTGCGTGATGACCTATCAATGACTCCAAGTGATACCGAGTGAAACTCAATGCTTCGTCCATTATATCTTCAGATGGTGTCCCGAGATGTGCTGCTTCGTACAATTGTAGCATCCCTCTAATATCTTCAGCTAGACTTTCCTTGAACCTACCATCTTCACCTTTGAATCTATAGAATGCATCTACAATGAATTCCAAAGCCAAATTAGTTATGTGTGTGTATATATATATATGTGAATCAAGGTCACCAATACACTTACCGCAAGGCATATAGTAACCGCGTAGTCTGAAAACCTCAAACATGATGGAGATTGTTTCCAAATCATTTTGCTTGGCTATCATGTCCTCCAAATTCCCAAAAGCTTGGCCAAGAATCTCATCAATCTCAATCTCGAAATGATATGCGATTCCGAGGTTAATGAGCAAATAAATGAGACGGATCCTCTCATTGTCGCCGTTTTTGGAAGACATGAGCATGTTTCTCACTTTTGGCTTCATCGTCACTTCCATCTCTCTTGAGAAATCAGCAAATTCCTACAAAAGATACAGTGCAAGTTATATAAAGAAATCATGCATGTTGTCTGAACCAACAATCTTGGGTCATCTTGTGCTTCTTTTGATCTATCTACTTACAGCGACATCGAGGGGGACAGAAAGGAAGTGATCTCCCCAAAGAGTGGGAGAAAAGTGTGCCAAGGGCCGACTACTTTCAAGATCAGCATTACTCTCAGTAGCCCTAACGCAGACCAAGTGGTGTTCTTTTGTCGGTTTCAAGAAGAGAGTGTGGTTGTGAATCCAACGCCGAGGAAAGAGAGAGAAATTGGTCTTGAGGGAGAGAGGGACGTTAGGGAGACCATAATTAATCGTTCTTGTTGCTTCCATATTGTTGATGTCAAAAAAATACATGCGAAGTAATATTTAAGAGGTACTCTGTTTTTAATGTTTGATATGCATTCCAAAATTAAGTAAACCCTAGAAGGTGACGTTTCAATGGATGATTTGAATAAAAATAAAATCAACTTAACAGCTAATCGTATCTTTGGTTATGGTTGGACACATCATGTGAACCGGGAAACATGGGAGGGAAAATGTCGTCAGAAGGATCATTTATTTGATTTCATGGGGAAGCGTAGCTACTACGTTATTCAATTAATCAGTCACGTGACCTGTTCAATTAACTAGAGACTATTTCAGCAGTTTGTATTGAGACTGCTGAAATAGTCTCTATTTAGTTCTGATTATCTGAATCCTTACGCTACGATTTTATTCCATGAGCAATCTTTATTGATAAATTCTAAACATTACAATATTAAGATTCAAAAAACACAATACTAAAGTACAACGTGAAAGCACAGAGAGATGGTCACAACTTAAACGGTTCACAAGATACAAGACCACAGATCGAACTATACGGCCATTGAGGATATGATCAGTCCATGAAAAGTATCAGTTGTGTCTGCAAGCAATGTAACTAGCAAGAGCCACCAGAGGCGCTGAATTTTCGGAATCAAACCCTAAAACCTGTTCCTCTGCTTCTTTCCTCAGCTTCTCTGCAACTTCCCTCGATCTCTCCAAACCTATCAGCCTTGGATAGGTCAGCTTTCCGGCCATTAAGTCTTTTCCGGCGGTCTTACCCAATTCCTCAGTAGATTCCGTTACGTCGAGAATATCATCAACCACCTGAAACAGTAGCCCAATACACCTCGCATACTTTCTAAGCTTCTCGATCTCTTCCTCTGTTCCACCTCCCATTATAACCCCTAACACCGCCGCAGCCTCCAACAATGCCGCTGTTTTGTGGAGGTGGATGAACTCTAGACGCTCCAATCCAGCGTCGTGTGGATTCAATCTTTCGCTGGCTAGGTCTATCATTTGTCCAGCAACGAGCCCTGTTGTCCCTATGGCCCTGGCCAGCTCAGCCACCGCGCGAATCATCCTCTCGGGAGGGACCAAACCACTCGACACAACCGTCATGTGCTCAAACGCTAAAGCAAGGAGTGCATCACCCGCCAAAACAGCCATGTCTTCTCCAAATACCTTGTTTGAGCAAAAATTGGTTCAACACTAGTGAACATTTACCAACATAGATGAATGATTCAACTCTAGAGAGCATTTCTCTGAGCCTTCATATGATTTAACAACATACCTTGTGGTTGGTTGGCTTGCCTCTGCGGAGGTCGGCATTGTCCATGCACGGAAGATCGTCATGAATAAGAGAGCTTGTGTGGATCATCTCGACTGCGCAAGCGGCTGGCATGGCAGTAGCCTCGTTCCCACCCACGAGCTCGCAGGAAGCAATGCAGAGCATAGGCCTCACACGTTTTCCACCCGCCAACAATGAGTACCGCACGGCCTCCTGGACCGTGAGGGGTTCTCGGAGCGGTACTGAAATGTCGAGAGCCGCGTTTACAGATTTGGCTTTATTAATCATATAGGACTTGAAGTCAAAGGCAGAGTTGCGATCGTCGCTTTTTCCCTCTGGTGGAATCATGTCTCTGGCACCTTGTGAGGTGAGCGCAGAAGAGAGAGACAAACCTGTGCGTTTTTGGAGACTCTTGACGGAAGATATGGAGTTGTCTCTTCTTCCTCTGGATTGGATGAAGTGGGAGAGTGAGCTGAGAGGAACAGTAGTAGCCATGGCCTGTCCACCGTCTCCAATAGAACTTTATAATTGGGTTTGCCTATTAAAAGAGTATGTGGAGCTCTTAGTAGGTTTTTCTTTTTTCTTAATAGGTTTCTTGTAGTTGGAAGCAATGATGGTCAACATCTTTACTGTTATTTTAAATTGTATTCTCTGCGAACAAAATAGTATGATTTTTTTTCAATTATGGGATGAAAAAATAACAATCTTACATATTTTAACAAAGTAACAAGTTCAAAATAATCATTAGAATACTTGAACGCATATCAGATTTCATTAATTAGTGATTGGAGGAAATTCTAATAAAACAATTGACTTCACAAGTAGAGAAAATCAAGTACCCCTATATATTTGTGAAGTCTGATCCTAGAGCATTTTGAGCCTTTTGCACAGTCCTTAGACAAGAGATTGTGAACTATATATAAAAGAAAATTTGTGAAGTATGATCCTAAAACATATAATGATTGTCTTAACTTCTAAACCGCTTGTATCAGAGTAAATAAAATAGAGAGAATCAGGTACTTACAGTTCATATTCGATTAGTTCAAGGAGAACATGTTTGGGGCATTGTAGCCACAAGACCAAGCTAAGCTCTTGATCTGCGAGGGAACACCATGTAATCTCAGATCACTTGCAAAAAGCTAAATAAAAGATTCATATAACATAAGCTGATGTAGAAGAAACACCTGCAAGTGAATTTTGAACTAACAAGTCGCACGCCATGCTCATCTTCACAATTCTGCAGTCCTTAGAAGTTAGATCAATGCAGCCAAAACACACGACTGAAAGCACAGAGCTTTGGATGAAACTTCTTTCCTAAAGCATACATCTTATTAAACCAGTGTAGCGCCTCCTCATGCTCTCCTTATAACGGTCCAGTTGATATCGTCCTTATTAGCTAATACTAAGAAAAACTCCACACATTTAGAGATGTCTTCTTTTCCTAGAACATCCTTCTCAAAAAGTTCAGAAGCTTCAAATATTTGGTGACGCTCACACTCTAGAGGCATGGAGGACAGCAAAAGTGCTTCAATTAACTGACACCTCCTCCTCTCTCAATTATCAGAAACAAACCAAACCCATCTCTGAAACAAGCATCAATTCATACAACCATATTTTTCACAAGGCTTCTCTCTTAAGCTTCAACAAAATCAAATGGCAAAGCTAATGTCATCTCAGAATTCTCTTCTACCATACCCTGAAAAAAAAATGCTAATAACCTCATTCAATTTCTAATATTTTCACATAACCACTTATCTAGGCGCACGGAGAAACAGGATACAACAACTTCTTAGATGACTCACATATAGAATCTGTTTAGTGCCTTGTCACCTGAAAGAAACCATTAATACTCCCTATTCCCTAACCCTAAGTCGCGTTTTTCTCAGGCATAGCACTGAACACCTCCTAGTAGTCTTCCTCATCAAACTGTAAGAAGTTGTGGTTCTCTCGGGCATTTCATGGAACACCTTCCTTGCTTTAATCATCTTACCTTTTTCACATAGGAGGTCGTCATCATCGCAGTCCAAGTCAATAAGACATAAACCTGAAAGCTTTCTTCCACATTCAATATTTCCGGTCCTTTAGTGTATCGTGATCTGAGAATCGCCCCGCATGACCTATTGATTACTGATTAGAGAAGGCAGGTCGTAAAGGCGGGAAACTATCATTATAAAGGGTATTTTAGTAATCTCAATGATCTGTAATACGTTACTTTTTTAAAAACAATTCGGAACTATTTAAAATTTATGATTTATAATTTTCTACTTGCATACGCCATTATAATTCCGAATTTTTTTATTAGTTGATATCGGAAATTACTTATTTATATTGATGATGATAACTAATATACAATAGACTAGTGTGAAGTAATTTCCGATAGCAACTGATTAAGTTTTTTTTTTCTTTTCACAATAGATCAACTAATTTATCGAAAACCATTAAATTACAAGGTTTTATATCAGATATATATATGCTAGGGGATAATCAGACAAATATTGGAGAATGATTGGGGAAGATTAAAGAAGAGCAAAAGAGATGTGGAGACATGTGAACCGAGCGATAATTGATGCGACGAAGATGGAGTGGGTCGGTCAACTATAAGAACCACCACTCGTGCTAAATGCTATGATGCTTCGAATTGAATCTCATTTATTCGGTCAAATCATTTCTTCTCCAACGTCCAACACCCACATGTGACACGTACCTAGGACCGGCGCAGAGGGCAAGCCTTAAAAATTTTACTTAAAAATTTGTTAAATTTTCTTATATACAATAATTTTTGTAGGGTCTTTTAAAAATATTGTGGGTGTTTAGAGATAACTACAACATTCTTTTTAATGGTAAAAATCTAATTTAAAAGAATTTTTTTTCTATAAGCTTTAATTTTGCTTAGGACATCCAAATTTATCGGACCGGCACTGCACGTACTTTATCAAGCATATCGTATACGACCCCCAAAATTAAAGTTTTCTGCTTCTTTTTTTTTTTTTTTTTTGATATCTTTAATCGAAATTTAGTGTCGGTACGTGTATTGTGATTGTGACATCCATTTGCATTTAGACTACAGTATATCTATCACGTTAGTGTCCCGAACCGTTTTATAGGCGTGTAAATTGTTAATTCGTACAAATTAGAAAACTTATGAAATAGTTATATATTATTAAGATTTAGTCATAATTTATAAGTAGATATTAAAGCTTTCACAAATATTGAGATAACATTGTATTAACAATCAATTCTACAAATGATGATGGTGTACGAATTAAATTTTGACATTTCATTCAATTTATTCTTTCCTATACAAATCAACTAGATTGTGTATCCGCACGTTGCGCGGATTTAGTTCAAAATTTTCATTTTTTGTTTATATATATAACCAATTGAATTTTAAAAGATTTTACTTTATCTGTGTGCATTATATTTTCCAAGTAGTAAAAAGTTTCTCACACTTTTCACTAAATTTTATTTCGTTATCTTCTATGATTCACTCGTAGTCTCCTGACATCTATATTTTTTCTCCTTAGATCGTATCTATTTTCCTGGGGAGATGTTTGTCATAAGGTTTCTTCGACCAAGTTTTGGTGCATCTAAAATTGCTTCATAGACACCAAATCTCACATATGGACTCATTCCTATTCATGAACATAGGTTTCAGCGTGAAATTTTGCACTTTATCTTGACCATCTGAAAAATACAAAATTCTCTTTCTACATATATAATTTAACATATATTATGATTAAAAATAGTATTCTTAAAAAAGGGAAATTGTTAAAAATACCCCTTTTGGTGTGTCCCTTTTCAAAAATGCTCCTTTTAGATGTCCATTTTCAAAAATACCCTTTTTTAAATCTGAAATTTTTATAAAGTACTTATGGATTGTAACTACTACTTGAAGACTCGATCCAAGTATTTATAAAGTTTTATAAGGTGTTTTTAAAGGTTTTACAAGTTATTTTAAAGGATTTTTAAGGTTTTTCAAAGGTTTTACAAGATATTTTAAAGGTTTTTAAAGGTATTTAAAATGCATTTATAAGGTATTTATAAAGTATTTATAAGATTTTAGATACATAGAAATGTAGTTTGTGTATGTTTTAATAATATTACATACATATTTGGGTAAATCTTATATTTTTAAGAGCATTTTTTATAAAGTTTTAAAAAATGTGTATCTTTGAAAAGGGGCTTTTGAAAGTGGCATTGAAAAAGTGGCATTTTTGCAAAAACCCCTTTATTATTCTATAAGATTATTTTAGTTTTATTTTTGATGTTTAGGATAGTTTTTTGCTTTATTTCAAATCACCTTAGTTTTTTTAATTTATGTTAATTTCCTAAATACTGATTAATATTTTTTTTTATTTTTTTTAAGTATTAATTTAAAAATGAAACAAAGAACCATTTTTTAATTTAGAAAACATTAGTAATATAGAAAAAAATATTAATTTAACTATTTATATTATATTATAATGATAAATAATAATATGTTCTCGATCCTTCATATTTTTGAGTCGGTACTCAAATTTTAAATGCCTATTTTTCAGAAATAAAATTTTTCTTTTAATTAAAAACCTTTAAATTTGGTATTTTTAAACTCTTATTTTCTTTACTCTACTAAATAATTGTAACACTTATAAATATTTGTTGTACCACTAAAATATATGATAATTTTCTTTTTTTTACTATCTCTAACTATTTTAAAACATTTATTCATTATATATTAAAATATAATTATCTATTCAAAATTTTCAAATTTTCAGTTGTCTATTGAATTTTTTCTTTTTTCATAATATTTAATTTAATTTTTGTCAAATATTGTTTTAGTTTAATGTGTGAATTAATTTTAATTTTATAGTATTTTGTTTTAATAAATAAAATATGTGGAGCCCACAAAAAAAAGAAAATATGATGACATGGATGATGATGTGGACACCCTAGATGGAGAGAGAACTCTCTAATTATATATATAGATTTATTTAATATTTCTATTAATTATAAGTAACATACATATGCCCTAAATAAATGTTTAAAATGTATTTTAATATAAAATAAATAATGTTGCTTAGGTGGATGCTTAGGTGGATAGGCTAGATGGATAGAAAACTCTTCCATTATATATATAGATTCCTGAAGAATAAAATCTTTCATAAAATAATTACTTTGTGGACATTTTATAGTAGTGGTTTTTTCTTTGTCTACATAGTAGTGGTATATATTATCCGGAGCATTTTAAAAAGTTCTCCTTTTAAAAATAAAATAATTCTACGTCCGTTGATTTGTTCCTAAATTAATTTCAAACACGAGTAAAGTAGATGTCTCGGCTTTGTTTCTTCGCCTGTCCTAAAACCATATCTATAAGTGGGTATTGCATTGTACCAAACTTGAAAGATCTTGCCTGTACGCATATTCCACTTGTACAATTTGAAATTTGACATTCAACTAACTTTATTATATATATATATATATGCTGAAGAATTAATTTCATTCAGTCATGTCTCATCGATGGTCCATTATCAGTTGTTAGGCCAAAAGCTATACTATCCTATTCTTATTCTTTATTGTTAACTATTATTATCATCATCAATATATATCATCATATTACATTACATATGATCACATGATTGGTCGTGTAGTGTGGGGGGGACATCTTATCTCATACGCCAATCTGCCTAATTTAATTAATTAACCTTTCCCTATATATAAGACCTTAGTTTTGTCTCAAGCCATAATATATTTCCAAAGTTATATACTATATTTGATCTTCTTAACTCTTTCTCTCTTCTCACAAATGGCTTCTACGCAATATGGGTTTGATCATCAAAGCGGCGTGGAGGTTATCAACGACGAGCTTATCATGTCGTTTTTGGAAGAAGAATCCCCCGTCGAAAATCATAGTAGCATCAACAAAGAGGAAGAAGAGAAACTAAACCGTGTGATTAGATCGCTAGAAGTGGAGATCAACATGAGTTCTCCGACCATAGAAGCTAGGAAAATGGATCTCCAACAGACGATAACCGGTCTTGAAGATGATTTCGGGTGGCTTAACGACTTTGATATTGGTATGATTTCGTTGCAAAATGATGATGAGATGATGAATTGGTGTACGGAACTTTCTTACATGGATGGTGTGGTAGATAGTAGTGTTCTTGAGATTGAAGGTGGTGATTATTATTCTCATATTAACTATGGACTTTCATTTGAGGAACCAACTCTTTCTCTATGGCAAGAGAATAATGATGTAGTTATGTATTAATCGATTTCGTGAAGTCATAATATAACAAAGGCTGTTTCGTAATCCGTTAACCAAAAAAAAAGAATAAGAAGGCTGTTTCATAAATCTTTAATTAACAAAAGGAAAGAAGAAAGAAAGGCTGTTTTAATCAGTTATCTAACCTTTTAAATTCATGTATGTATTCGTAAATGTTATGTTGATGTTACTTTCTTTTATATAAATATTATAATTGTTGAGAAAGCAATTTACATAGAAATATTTTAAAAGACTATCGTGATTATCACTTGACAATAATAATTATCAAAACTAGCATGCATCAAGATGTAACTGGATGCAAACATCTGAAAGTTCACATGTTTTTTTTTTTCCTTTTTTTATGATTGATATTTTTACAAAAGTGTATTTTAACCATAATATAACGTGATATATTGGTGTGGAATGAATGAATTTGGTTATAGAATCTTGAATTAATCCGGCTGTTAAATTATGACAATAATTTCTGAAAAGTGAAAATCCTGTTTTATTGCTTTAGAAATATACATAACAAAAAAAAAAAAAAAATGGTAATGAGAGCTTATTTTTGTCGGCAACATGAAATACATACAGGAGTTTGGATTCAGATCGTGACACATAAACAATATTCACACAAACCAGCAAGTGCTGGTTGGAAGTGAGAGTTTTTGATAAAATTTTAAAACCATAAAATATTAAAAATTTATTGGATAAAGATGTTTTGAAGCTAAAAAGGGTTAAAGAGCCTGCAGGTATAACATAAGGCCCATAAGACATGGGCTTTTGATTAACATATCCAAGAATCATATATCGGTGGATATACTCAAAAGTCCATTTCTATATATAAGGCACAAACATCAGCTCATCACACTAAATAAACACTTTTGGTTAGTAGTTAGTACAAAACTAGCATCAATTAAGCTTCACTAGAGGCTTATGCATTTATAGTTTATTGAGTAAATAACGTAAGAGAAAATGAAGACAAACAATAAAAACACAGAAAGAAAAGTTGAGTTTGGTGGTGTTCTAAAAAGAATTGGTTTTGATCTCGACACCAAGTTATTTTTGTAGTCTTTTAGTATATTCTTAGTGACTAAGAAATAGATACAAATGCCCATCAAGTATATGCTTTATATTCCAATTCATTAAAATAAGATTTGGCTGCTTTACAGTCACTAAACTTTTTCTATGTTTTTTTTTTTTTTTCTTGTCCCATGCACGTTGATGGTGTAGATTATTGCTGTTTTAGCAGGAATTTAGTAACAAAACACTTTTCTTTTCTCTTCAACAAAACTAGTAAAACTACATGTGCCAATTGCCAAATGTCTCTCTTTCTGCTTATCTTATTAACTTTCACTTTAATTAACTCGTCTTTATTTTGTTTCTTTTGGAGAAAAAAGCTTACTTAATTAAAAAGTTAATCTTTCCAACTTTAATCTTTCTGACATTTAAGACCAATTATGCAAGCTATAGTAAACACTTCCCCTCTATTGATTGAATTAATATAATAAATGATAAATCTCAACTTTCTTCTATATGAATATGACAATGATTCCAAGGATTTAATCACATCATGTACTAATAAGAATTTAGACCTACTACTTACAATTAGGAATACAAATTACATTTCTTCCAAAATGTGATTAAACCCAATTAGACTAATAAAAAAACTGGTCAATAGTTTTTTTTTTTCTTTCAAATATACTATATCACCTATTTATAAATTACAAAAAGAACTCTGTGACGTAACTCTATCTAGAAAAAAGCTATATAGTAAAGTGAAAACTGAATTGTTTCACATATCCAACAATGAATTTTTTTAAAAAATAATAATCATCGTTACGTTTTAAACAAGAAGTTCCCGCAAATTATATTACTGTAAATCTGGAAAAAAAAGAATATTTTTCTACAAGTTTTCTATATTTGTTAAAATACATATATTTGGTGTTACTGAGAAATACATAATAATCATCCATTAAATAGTGGAAGCCTCCTTGGCCCATTGGTTGACAAAGGGTTGATTAATGCTTCTACACCAAAAGGTCTGGGGTTCGAGTCCCAGATATTGCGATTTATTAACAAATTTGCAGATTAATGGAGGCAAGTGTGCAAGAGATCTCCAGCGATGTACAATTATAGCCGTTCGCCAAGATTCTACGCAGAGAAGGAAGTGTCGCCAGGTCGTGGATCATTGAAGGTTTTCATCAAGATTACGAAGAAGGAAGTGTAGTCTGTCGTGAATCTAGTAAGGGTCGGAAAGAATTGTCAGTTGTAGAATCATCTATGTAACAGTTCTCATAATTTGCAATTAATAATAAATCTAGACGACAAAAAAAAAAAATCATCCATTAAATAAAGGGTATCTACACGCGGTTTAGAGTTTAGGGTTTAGAGTTTAGGGTTTAAATTAATATAGCCCAATAATAAATAACCTAGACACTCTCTTATGTAGTTTTCCCTCTAAAAAAAGAACGGCCAACGGAATAAAGAAAGCAAAAAGCCAAAAAAAAAGGAAATCGCACCCATTAATCATCATCCTCTCTCTCAAATCCCTCCTTTTTCAAAAAAATTCCGCCATGGAAACTAACCTCGCTAAGCAATTACCTCTTTATATAACTCCTTCTTTCTCCACTCGTCTCTTCCCTCCTCCCGATGCTTCCCTCCAAAACCCCACCGACGAACCAATCCCTAGAAAGAAGAATCAGCTTAATTCGTCTGGTTCTGATTTGATTTGATTTCTCCCAATTATGTCTCACGAAATCGTCCCCGTTGATCCCATTGATGTCCCGAGCACGAGTTACTCACGGCCGATTCTGGGTCCTCGGGATGATTCGCCAATTGGTCAGTTCACGAGATCCCTTACTTTTCGGGAACATGTTTCGTCGGAGCCATTTGATAGCGAGAGGCTTCCGGCGACATTAGCTTCTGAGATTCAGAGGTTTCTTCGTATAGCTAACTTGGTTGAGTCTGAGGAACCTCGAATTGCTTATCTATGTGAGTGTTCACTCTCCCCTCTTCCCTTCAAAATTCCTTCTTTCTTGTTGAAGAGTCATGCTTTAGTACCAATCTTTTGCAAATTTACCGTCGCAGGCCGTTTTCATGCTTTCGAGATAGCTCATCATATGGACAGAAACTCTACCGGAAGAGGTGTACGGCAGTTCAAAACTTCTCTTCTTCAAAGGCTTGAACAGGCAAGTCTTCAAAGAGAGTAGTAGAAAGAAAACACTGATGATTCTAGCTGGTTTTTTTTGACCAATCAGATGATTGATGTGGACCAGTTTCTGAATAAGTCATAAAAATCATCACTTTACTTTTGCAGGATGAAGAGTTTACTGTGAGAAGAAGAAAGGAGAAGAGTGATGTTCGGGAGCTCAAACGTGTTTATCATGCTTACAAGGAATACATTATCAGACATGGTGCATCATTCAATTTGGATAATAGGTATCTACTCACTATAGCTGCTTATTGTTCAATTTCAGCTAACCAACACTAACCTTTGGAATTTTAATCTTGATAGTCAGCGAGAGAAGTTGATTAACGCACGCAGAATTGCTTCTGTTTTGTATGAAGTTCTCAAGACAGTCACAAGTGGCGCTGGCCCCCAGGTTCTTGCTTCATCTTTTTGTTTCTCTCCACCCGAATCTATATAACTTTGCATCGATTTCACAATGTTGTGTCTCTAACTTGAAAAAATATTTGTTCCTGATAGGCCATTACGGATAGAGAAAGTATTCGGGCAAAATCTGAATTTTATGTGCCGTATAACATTCTTCCTCTTGATAAAGGAGGGGTACACCAAGCAATTATGCATCTGCCTGAGGTATAAAGATACATGGCCTCATGGGGAAAACTAATTGTTGCTTGTTATGATTTCCCATTGTAGTATAGTTCTGTAACACAGCATACTGAAATTTTCATGGTGAAATGTTCCTTTATGTCATAAAATACAGATTAAAGCTGCTGTTGCAATTGTACGTAACACTCGCGGGTTGCCTCCTCCAGAGGAGTTTCAGAGACACCAGCCTTTTCTGGATTTATTTGAATTTCTGCAGTATGCCTTTGGGTTCCAGGTACTTTTCCGGAACTTGCTATCGGTGTTGTAAAGACTGTAATTACATATGGTGACCAGACTTTCAATTACCTTCCCGCTAGAATGGAAATGTTGCCAATCAGAGAGAGCATATGATCCTACTACTCAGTAACACCATTATACGGCAACCTCAGAAGCAGTCTTCAGCACCGAAGGTGTTGTATTATTTCGCATCTTTATTGAATTGATTAAGTTCTCTATCTTTGAAACTGACATAATCGTAATTCTTGTAACCAGTCTGGTGATGAGGCAGTAGATGCATTGATGAAGAAGTTTTTTAAGAACTACACAAACTGGTGCAAATTTCTTGGAAGAAAAAATAACATCAGGTATTCTTAGATAAATTCATCTGTTCACTTTCGATAGTTTTTTTCCATCTCCTTAGCCCATTTATTTATAACTGTTTAGCCTGTCCATCTACTTGCAGGTTGCCCTATGTGAAACAGGAAGCCCTACAATATAAAACACTGTATATAGGACTCTACCTTCTCATATGGGGAGAGGCGTCGAACTTGAGGTTCATGCCAGAGTGCCTGTGTTATATTTTCCACCACGTAAGCGGAAAATTATGTTTCTATGTTATTAACACATCTTTTTAGAAAGTTCATCAGTCTATCTGATCAATATTCACAATTTTGATGTTGATGATAATTCAGATGGCATATGAATTGCATGGAGTCTTAACCAGTGCAGTTAGTATGATAACTGGGGAGAAGGTCGCGCCAGCATATGGTGGAGGACACGAATATTTCCTTGCGAATGTAGTTACCCCCATATATAGGATTGTCGAAAAGGTGATCTTCTGTTTGATGAAGTGCTTGAATTAACTTTAAAATGAGTAGTCAATTGTATAGTTATGTCTGCAGGAAGCTGAGAAGAACAAGAATGGAACTGCTGATCATTCTATGTGGAGAAATTACGATGATCTGAATGAGTTCTTCTGGTCAGAACATTCGCAATATTATGTCTCTTTGCTACCATATCTGTGTTTAGAATCCGTGAGCATCACTAATCAATCTTGTTACGTCGTCCACAGGTCTCTTGAATGC